TAAAAATATTAGTTTAGGTGACCTTACTTGGACTTAATTTTCAAACCAACTGGAATATAATATTGAAACAAGGAATGAAAAATATGACACTTCCACATAAGGAATCAATCTCTTGATGCATTAGGGCCACTTCATGGAAGGGAACTCTGAATAGGCTTTTCTCAAGACTACATGCAAAAAGTGTAGGGCAGCTCATCTCACCTACTTCTCACACTTTTGAGATCTGCAAATCAGAATAAGAGAGCAAGTTGTGCAGAAGATGTAATTCAAAGTCACACAACAATAAAACTACAGAAATTGCTGGTACAACCAACAAATAGCTACTTAATAGAATAGTTAGAAAATACTTTTATATTTCCAGAGCTATTCAAATTATACTACAATAGCCAACAAAAACAGGCATTAAAAGAATAACAATAAACCAACTGGTGAAAGATTTTATCTTGTTCATAATAAAGTAGGAAAAGTTTTTACTCTCTTTTGCTTTGTTAACACTAGCTTTTGATGAGACCAATAAAAATACCAGAAGATATATACAGACTCAACATCAATACCAATTAATTTGTACAAAGAATCAAAACAATTACCCTTTCTTAATAAAGTTTTAAGAGTGGAAGTAACATTCATAAAACTCAAATGAGTTAAATTAAATTTGACTATATATAAAATGGTCTGTGTACTTCATGGTTACTACTACATCAGCTTGTCTGCTTCATCTCTATCACAAGTCTCAAAGAAAACAAACCTCAAAGCCCAGCCATCCTTCCACTGTCTCAGGACCAGCACCAACAGTTCAATTACAAGGCCAAATTCAACCAATTTTGATGATACTACCAAAAACTAACTAAGTCCCAGCAATGACCACGTATACATCTTGCAGGTAACTCCCTTTCTCCTTAGTTCCAGGGATCCAGCATTTTGGAATTTACTCTAACTCCCTACCTAGTCATGTTTATCAAAGCTATAAGTACCTACTTCAAAAACCTCACAATTCATTTCCCCCAGTCTCTTTATAAGCCTATTTCTTATATAAATTATGTCAAAGTACATTGATATTTTCAGTTATCAAGGTGCCAAAAACTCCATACAATTTCTGAGATGCAGTAGAACCACTTGCTAAAAGCACCTTTCCAGTAACCAGCCTGAATACTATTTAACAGCTTAGTTGGTCTAAAAGCAAGAGCTCTCTTATGCTCTCTCCTCTAAAAATGCATTAAAAGTCTTCAGGATTTGTTATAACTATACATCAGTGGGAGTCCTTAGATCTTTTTTTCTTCAGAATAAAGAAGAACAGTACTTCAGTTTTTAAAGAAGCTTTCTGAGGGAAATGGGCACAGTAACTTATTAATTCTCCACAGAGTCAGTCACACAGCTCTAATTTACCTTGCACCACAATCAGGCAATGCTGTCTCTGCACTCTCACTCCAGTCTAGCACTAGGCTCTGAAATCTCGGGAGCTCAAGTCAAAAACTTAATCTACTTTCTTCTCTGTGGATATTTTTTTCCTATCAACCATAAAGGAAACATTCCACAATTACTGGTACAGAGCTGAAAACACAGCTCAAAGCTGCCATCTCTAGGTGATGATTATGTTCGACTGCTCTTCACTAAATTATTTTTTCTAGGTTTTTTATTTTTTTTTCCAAGAGACTGAATATCTAAAAGGAAAAATATCATAATTTTATCCTAACAAGTTAAAGTTAATGTAAGAACTTACTCCAGAAGGGTGTACTTTTTCCCCTTGAAATTTCTTTGACTTGCATGATCAGCTCCTTTTGGCCCATGTAACTTCTGACATTTCACATAATCACTAGTACAAGCATCATAGTCGTTATTTCACATAGGTTCATTATTAGTGAATCTTAATTGCTAATTAACATATGTCTTCATATATTAATTAGTCAATAACATTCACAGCTTCTTCACTATACCTTTGCTTGAAGCTTTCATTATTATTAACATGAGTTGCACTTCATTGAGATTCAAAGAGATGTCTGAATTAACACAGATCTATCATATTTAATACTTGATGGTGAAAAGATTTCTAAAACAGTTACCCTTTAGTTTGGAATGTCTCAAGAAAATATTAGCACCATCAAATAAAAAGGTTAAATTATATTTTAAGCCTTTATTCTGAACTGATAAATGATACATTATTCAAATGTTTGACTAAAAAGTCCGCATTCTACAAGAACTGTAATAATCAAAGTCATTGGTCAAAAAGATCTGACCTTTAGCAATGAACCAGGGAAATGACAGGAAGAAAAGCAAGCTTTGAGTTGACACTAGGGCATGCACAAAACCTAGTTTATGTCACTACTGAAAACACCTCTACAATATTCACCATACTAAATATAGATTCAAGATTCATAGACTCTCTGTAAGAACAGCAGATGCCAGGTAAACAAGACAAAATAAAATATCAGCCCATGTCTTCAACTCCTCTTAACTTAGAGGAAGCACTTACTATATAAAATTAGAGCAAACAAAAAGAAATTAAAATGTACAACTAAAAGTGTAAAATCTTTAAAAGAAAAATATGAAAAATGTGAAAAAAAATAATTCTAAGACATTGTAAGACATTTCTGCTCAGATTACAAGAACGCTTCCTAAAACAAAACTTTCCATTACAAATTAAAAAATAAATGAAGTTTAACTTAACAGAAGGATAATGGAAACTTAGAAGAAAAACTGGAGTTCAAAACAAAGTTCAGAAACTCCACCAGATTAAAACAGAGACTCACACCAAGACAAGCTATGAAACACCTTAATGAGATGCCTGCAAAACTTATATATGAAGTACTAAGACATCACTTTTCAACTGCATTAGCAATACACCTAACTAGATACTTTGTGATGCCAACAGACTGTCTGAAGGAGTATTCTGAGAAGTGAAAGCCATAGCAACAAAATTAGGTTAACTTTCCCACATGAGTTCTTCATGACAGACTTTACAGGTATTTCCATAGCAAAAACTAAAAACAGAAAGTTACAGTAGGGAAAAAAAAAAAAAAAAAGACCAAACCTGGTAAAGAAAGTCCCTGGAATCAGTTCTGAGGAAATTAAAAGAGCTAACCCTTGTCTGCAGTATGTAAATTCCTGTTTAAAAATGTGTCCACACCAAAAGAGTGCTAAGGGAGAGGCAGAAATGACAGAATTCAGTGAGTGAAACAGACAAACAAATGGAGAAAAATTCTATAGCTTTTTGAAAAGGGAAGTTATAGCCTGCAAACAGAATATTGGCTTTTTCTGAAGAAATCAAAGGTCCAGATGATACATGTACCTGAAGTTTCCAAAAGATGCTTGATGATATTCCTCATGTCCTAAAAGAACTAAGATGTTCTGGAACAAGGAAAACAGACAAGTCTATAAAGTTTGGGGGAAATAAAATAGTCACTTCTTAAATGAATAAAGGTAATTAGTGGTGTCCCACAGACATGTGCAACTGGAATTTGTGTGTTCAATATGCTAAAAAACAAGCTGGTATGGGGATGAGTGGGAAAAACAGCAATACTTTTTGACTATACTATGTTATTTAAAATAACTGAGCACAAATAATTGCAGAAGAATCTCTTAATACTGCATGTGCAATACAAGAAAAAATTGAAGAGTAAGTAAATGCTCACATACATAAGGATGAAAAGATGTCTATGTGAAAAAAATAATTTCAAGTCTAGGCATATGGGGAAGGGGTTTTGAATTGCCTAGAATGAGATCCTGAGGATGTAACTGACAATTCTGTAAAAATACCAGTTCAAAGCCAATAGCAGATTTTCAAAAAGCTAAAGTACCCTAAAGAACTAATAGGAAAAAAATTAGACCCTTAATTCCCTATTACATCAATCTCTGAGGTAAGAACACACTAAAGAATGTGATTCCTCCTTTCTCAAAAGGAATATAACAGAATTAGAAGTGGTAAAGGCAATGGTACAACATTATCCAAGGTATGAAATATCTTCCTTATAGAGGATTATTAAAAACACAAGGAATTTTCAGTATGAAAAAGAAATGGTAGCGGGTATTATGGTCTTACAGAAAATCATGAGTAGTATGAGGAAATAAATGGAGAATAAGAAGTATTTATATATTTATCAAAAGTAAGCCAGCTAGTACCAGTTTCTGAAAAGGTTTTATTTCTTAAAAAAATATTCTGGAATTCTTAGGCACAGGATGATGTCAATGTTAAAATAAATACACGGTCCAAAAATTTTTAACAAATAAACAAACAACAGAGATTCATATTTTTTCCACAAAAATACTAACCTATTTTGGGAAATCCCAGCTGCAAAGTAGGACACTATTCTGAGGCAGCTTCTGTAAGTTCCTCTCATTTTTTCTTATATTCTTCCCTAGGCAGTCACTGTTACCCATTATTCAAGAGGTGTTACCAGGCAAGATGAACACTTTGGTCTGACTCGATATAATCCTTATTGTATCAAGGCACCTACTGCTATGCCTTATACAAAGAAATGAAAATTTGCAACACCAATTCTGTATTTCTCTGTCACAGCTAACAAGTCTGTCACCCTCTGTAGCTTGTCTCCCTGACAGCCCCCTCAGGCATGTGTTGGAGCCTTCTCTCCAGTTCTGTCTCCCTGTGCTCCTGGATTCCCTGAGCAGTCCCCACCCCTGGGCCATCTCTTGCTGTGGTGCTGCCAAAGGATCCAGCTACCAGCAATTGGCTCTGCCTGTAGGGTTCAGCCCCCAGGGATGGTGCCTGGTGAGCAAGAGCACTGCTCACAACCCCAATTACATCTCACACACCCCTCTGCCTTTTATTGGCACGTTTAGCGTGGAAGGTTTATGGTCAGCAAAGTGATTGAGAAGTATTGCATAATCTCTGCTCCAAAAACCATGCAATAAACCTAAGTACTGAAGAAAACGTTAATACAAAATATTTAGAAATTAAATTACCCTCAAAAGTTTCTGTTCATGGTGACCCATTTTAAGTTCACTAACAGCACACACATATAAATTTCAGAATACTGAAGACTCCAAACCTGATACAATGCAAGAGTATGTCCATATCTCTGGAGTGGTCCTTTGGATACAGGCACTACATTCCATATGCTGCTTTCCAAATTGTAGCTAGAAGAGAAATAGAAGAGGAAACATTTCCAACCTGAAGAGGAAATAGAAGGGCTTGTATGTTCAACTAACTCTAACATGGTAATTTGTTAGTGTTAGGATCAACAAGATCCTTTGAAGTATTACAACACTGAACTAAATATTCCTCAAGCAGAACAGGAGCAGCTCTTTAAGGGACCCATCAACAATCTCAGAAAATAGGAGTAACTAACACAAAACACAAGACTTGTTCTCTTATCAGTCACATAAACCCTACCTCACCAAACTGCTCATGCCCCATGCTTTTGCACTATTCTGCAGATTTATTGTTGGGCACCCTCTTAATTATATGGTTGATTTTAATCTTCATTATATTTTAATTAATTAATCAATGCATAGCGTTAGATAAGAGACATAAAAAAAAAAAATAAATGAAGGTAGAAAAGAAAAATCCAAAAGATTATGGGATTTATTTTGGGTGATTGCGAATGTGTGGAAGAAAGCAACAGGTAGACAACAACAGGAGAAGTAAGTATGCTAATAGTATGCTAATAAATATGTCCTAAAACTTGCATTTGCCACATTTAGGGCTTCTGCATATGAAGTTACCATCCAAACCACCTGAGTGCTATTTACAGCTGCTTCAGTTATGCTTCCAACAGGTGGTGAAATATACACAAATATAAATTGCCATAAGTATAAAAAAGTGGTATACAGGTGACCTGCCTGAGCCTACTGGCATGGCACCAGCAGGCAAAGTGCAAGCACTAAATACAAGTGTCCTATAACCATAAACTAATATCAATAATGCACATGGCTTTCAAAATGTAGTTCACCAAATTGAAGTACATATAAATATCACCAACAGTTTGATGTTGTCCATATTTTCATTTTCTATAATCATAATAAAATTACAAGCATAAAATCAGACCATTAATAAACAGAGATATAAACCTTTCAGCTAAATTAGAAGATAGAAACTCCCTCTCTGGTAGGATCGGTTTTCCCTAAGCCCCATCAGAAAGGACATGACAGAAGAGAAATCACTCACTTCAACACCATCTGGAATGAGCTGTAGTTAAAGGTGTATCCTCCAATCACCCACATGAACTTCCCGTGGAGGACAGCCTTGTGGGAAGCACGGCCCACAGAGGGGCTGAAGGGCTTCACGTTGGGCAGAATCCAGTAAGACTCCGTGGAGGGGACGTTCAAAGAACAGTCTGGACCTGTTTTGTAAACAAAAGCGCAATTTGTGCAATCTGTAGACGGGGATGTTAAAGCCAATAAAGCAGAAACAGGGGAGGCTTAATTACAGATGTCAGGATTGCTCATTCTGATAAAATATGGTGTACATTTTTATGTTTAACAGATGCTCAATGAAAAAATTGACAACATGGGATGTCAATCTAGTTGAAAGCATTAGATTAGCTCAAATAATAACAATTCAGTTCCACATTCTTCTCAGAAAACAGACTGTAAGTCAAAAATTGAAAGAAATGCACAAAGGATCACAATTTTAAATCATCTATCATTTAGGTCAAAAACTTTTAGCACTGCATGTTACCTTCGGAGAAAACTATACTGTATTTGAACCAAAATAAGTGTATATCAAAGCAAATAATAATACAGGAAATCAAGTTACAATATCCATTACACTATATTAAATCTTAGAAGTAAAGATTTGCCTTTTGCAAATGCCATTCTGCATCATTTTTCAAGAGGAAAATACACTATCAAGTGCTTTATCAAGAGAATTATTTGAATATTTAAATTTTATAATATTTTATAGACCATTTTACAAAGCCACCAAACCCACAGTTACTAAATTTTATTTTCAAATGTATTTCAGCCAATCGTTTTTGTCAAAGTAAGAAAAGTCAGCAAAACGCATAATTTTTTTTTGCTATATGACTATTACAATCATGAAAGCAAAATACACTTTTTATTTGTTCTGTAATAACAAAAATGTGATCTCTTCATTATCAGTTTATACTCTAGATCTTATTTAAAACCTGAATGTACATATGTATACATATATATATAAATATTGCTGATAAAGCCTATGTTTGCAGGGCCTTTGAAGAACCACAGAACAAGTTCCTGTCTGGCCATGTGACTGAACAATAAAACAATAAACAAAATTCAACCCAGTAAAACTGAAAACTAAGAAAGGTACATTTTAGGATCATCTCAGGACAGCTCATGAAAATATTACATCACCACTCAGCAATGGTCAAAGTAAAGACTCATGTCAGAATCAAGAATACTGTTACCCCACTGCATAAATCTGTGGCTTGTGTAACCTTAGAAAACTGTATCCTACTGAAAAAGATGAGATTAGTGCTGGAGAGTGTTTACAGGAGAGTAACAAGGATGTTCCACCTACAGAAACCACTGTATTCCTTTGAACTACTGACTTTTTCACTTGGAAAAAAACAAACTTTGGAAGTGAATATGAATGTCCATAAAATAAGTGACAAAGAGGGTGAATATGAAGAGTCCACAGTCTCTCTGAATATAAAGAGCTGAGTTTTACAAAATGCAGCTTGAAGAAGCCATGTTCAAAGCAAACAAGAGGAGACAGTTCTTCATGTAAAAAGTATCAGATCTCTTTGGCAAGGATACTCCCCTGGCAAAGGGTGCTCCAGATGCAAGGATTTACATAAATCAGACATAATTTTAGAAGAGAGAGCTGCTGAAGTTTACTAAGTAAGCTAAATAAGTAATGTACATCAAGTCTACAGTAATTATAAAACATCATCTTGGGGGAATGAGAGCACAGGGAGATTATTTTTTTCCAATTTTTATTGTAATTTTGGGGGCAACTTGTTACAGTTACTTCCTACACACAATAACCAGGCATCCAAAGTGTACATAACCAGTTGTCAACTTTTCCTAGCATACTATAGAAGAATGATGTCCACTTGTTCCAAATTACCTTCCATTCACTGAACAATTGAGACACTCAATTCCCATAGTTCATTATACCTTCTACTCAGAAAAGATTAATGGCATTTGAATGAGGTCTAATGAGAGTATGAACAATTCATACATTATTTCTTAAGCATTAATAATTGATACTGTAATAGAGTTGTAACCTCAGCAAAATCGTGATTTTGGTAAATCACCGGAGGAAACACTTAATTTGAATATAAAAGGGCTTTAAAAGTAAACAATTGATTAAGTATTCTTTGATCAGGGAAGAGCTTAAAGCGATGGAAACGGTGCCGGCGGGTCAGAGGGAGAAGCCGCGTCTCTGCCGGCTGTCACCGGGATGTCGCGGCCAGCAGGGACCCCTGGTGGCCAGCGGCGAGCAGAGCCAGAGCTCCTGCGGCACATCCAGGGATACCCGGCACCCGCTGCCATGAAATGAACGCAAAACCGCCTCACACTGAGTTAAGAATACCAAAATCTTAGCCAGGCAAGTGATGGAAAGAATGTCACAGACAGGCGTCTTCCAGCCTCAGCGCTAGGTCAGAACTGAGCGGCAGGAAAGGCGAGAGGGAAAGCAGAAACTCCACATAGAGTCATGGAAAGCCTTGGGCTGGAAGGAGCCTCAAAGATCATCTAGCTCCAGCCCCACTGCCATGGGGTTGGACTGATACATAACCATGATAACATTATGTATGTAACATTGATAACATTATGTATGTAACATTGATAACATTATGTATGTAACATTGATAACGTTATGTATCAATCGGGACAGAGATGGTGTATATATAACTGCAAAAATGCAAAACAACAGAATAGTACTGGCCTCTATCAAAACATCATTTAAAAAGCAAATTCTTTTTATGGCTATTGCTTTATAAATGCAAGGTAAATGTAGGACTTACAAATATTATTTATATATTTTCTTACTTGAATACATACACCATTATTTTTTAAAAAAATACATATTCTCTTCAAAAACATCACATTCACTAAATGCGTGACTTCTGTGCAACAAAGAGCACTACAGCTGCAGAACAAAGATAATGAAAAATACATTTTGTTATGTTTTATGCAAATACTATTTTTCTCCATTCATTTAAAATTGAGTTTCTTTCTTATCTTCCTAATGTGTCAGTCAATCCACTGGAGGGCAGGGGGGAATGCTTTAAAAACAGCAAACAACTTTATAAACCTGAACTGGAAGTCAATTATGTTATTCTCTAAGGCAGGAAAAAATTCTATAGGTTTAAAAAAGTGATTTATCCCCACCACACAGAAGAAAGAATCTAATTTCTATTTATTGAGGAGTTTCATGAAAAGCCAAAGTAACAATCTGTTCCAGTAGTTTAAGTCATAAGATCAATTTCCACCTAAATGACTGAACATCATCTACTGTCTTCAAACCAAATCCTTTCCTTTGGGAGCACTGGAGGGGAAAAAAACAGAAGTATTGATGTGTTGAATAGAAATTTCACAGCACTCTTCATGCAATTTAATCAAAGCAATTTTAGAAGTATTTGTTGTTTATTCTGGATTTGTTTGTCTAATCATTTGAGTAGAGAATGATTAATGTAATTTTTCAACCACCTCCATTCAGTGGCTGAAACCAGTCCTACAGTCAGGCCAGTTGTGCTGGAATGGCTCTAAATTCCTTCTAGGCATTCGAGCAGTAGGTGTACCCACGTATCCCTACACTGCCCCTGCACAGCTCTGTAATATCCATACTGGATGCAATTATTTCTCCCATCCTGCAAATAGTCTTGCTGAAAATGAGACAATGGCAGGCAGAGAGATCCTGGTGAGGTGTCCAGCTAAAGCAGCAGGGCAGCAAGCCGTGCCAGGACTCGGGCCTCTCCAGGAATGACTCAGAAATCCCAAAGCACACGAGCTGATGCAGTTCTTGAAATGTCCCCTGGGTGCTGTTACTGAGCCTCGTCTGCCTCCTCAGACAGGAAGAGTGGATCGTCCAAGAGTGATCTGGGGATGGGGGATGCACAGGATCAGTCTAAACAGGGCCTGCCACGGGTGGGTACAGCTCCACAGCATCCTTTAACTGCTCAGCTCCAGATCCCACACTCAAGAACAACAAGGCTGGCACAGAAGATAAGGCCAGATGTCACAGCATTGCCTAATAGAAGCAGGGAAAGCTTTCCTAGTCCTCCATGACTGAGAACAAGTACAGTCTCTAGCAGATATCACATGAGATTCGTCACCTTAAACAAAAACACGTTTTGCTTCTCACTCTAAAAGAAGCAGGGACTTTGAGATCAGCTGTAGCTGACAATATCCATTGGACTAGAGATTCTGAGACTCCATCCCAATGGCAGCAAGGTACCAACTCCAGCATCTCTGCTAACAACTTCTAGAAAACCTTGCAGCTCTAAGACAAAAGCCTCCTTCCAATTCCCAAATGATGTTTTGATGACCAGTTTACCCCAATTTTTCTTCTGCCATTGTTGCTATCACTGTACTTAAAGACCTGGACTGTCTATACACCACACAAATGTTTATAAACATCACTCTTCCCTCCCAGCCTGGATTTTACTTGTTTATACAAACCATGCTCTGTTAGTGCCTTCCATAGCTCTGTCCATCCTAATGGTTCTCCCTCTGTTTCTATTTGTATTCATAAAACTGTAGTAACAAAAAATGAAACATACTGCTAATGCTTTCTTAATTTAACTGGAATTTCTGTGACTGTTCATCCTACCAGTGCACTTGGCACTTTGGATTTTAAATATAAAATTAATAATGTTAATTAGTTCACGTTCTAATTGAGATAGACAAGTTTTCTCCCATGTCTCTTTCCACATTTCAAATCAAGACTATAAAAGAAATTCTTAATACTCTTAGTCTCTAAATGTATTAATTTACAAATTACACTGAGGTAATTAAAACCTACACATTACTTGCAGATTTTTTGCAGGATATTCTGATTCTCCTTCATATTTAAAGTACCTTCCACCTTTGTATTTCCAGATTTCATTAGCAGCCTTATGGGTAGATAACAAAAATTATGTAACAATATCAGTCCCAAGATCAGCCTTTGAGGAGCACTGATACCTTTCCATACATGCTCAGCACACCCACTCACATTTCATGAAGCAGCTGAGTTCCCCTTACTGTTTCCTTATGTATGCACTGTACTCCTCAGTTTCAATTATTTCTTGTTATCAAATGCTGAGGTTCAGACAAAATATATTGCATTTTCATGTCAATTTGCTTGTATGTCAATTATCTTCATATGAACTACATTGATATATTCAGATTTCAACTGTTTTGTTGTTAATCACAATATAGGTTTCATTATTTCTTTCCTCAAGTTATGGTCTAGAGCCTTACACAGTGCTGAAATGAAGCTAACAGGTTTTGAGCTGCATTAATCCCTTTCTTCCTAATCTTAAATGAAGGTGCTACAGATAATAAAGTAAATTGACTATCTTACCTTATCAGGGAGATCAGCACTATCTATTTCTTGTATTCAGGACAGAGTATTGCTTGGCATCATTATTTTAATCAAGTTCTATTTTACTACATTTAAGCGTATGCTTTTTAAACAAATATTTAGGTCATAGATTTATTCTAAATGCATTACACTTTTCATTAAAACTCAAAACTAGCAAGGGACTCCCTTCCTAAATCTCATCCTAATTAGATACAGAGAGCATTATCAACCCCTTCAATACAGTCATTTAGTGAAACAAATCAAATAAATTCTGCTAAACTTACTTTTGCTAATTGTCAAATGACACCATAAAGGTATTTAAAACTGGAGCTGGCTCTTCATTTACCTGTGATGTTCTTTCTCTTGTAATAAGGACACTTGATTTTTCTCACACAATTTTCAGACACTAATTTTCTAATTATGATAGCTATATTTTGTTTACAAATTGCACAGTCCTCTGAGGATGCTTGTCAAATTGTTAAATTCCAGCTGAAGACAAATCTGAAGAACATTTCCAGCACATAGGAAATAACCATTCATTACAAGACAATTCCTTCTTACCAATTCTATATATGCCAACTTTTCTTAGACAATACTCATTTCTATGACCAACATAGAAAAAAAAATCTACAAATATGGAGCACAGAAATAGGATTCTAACTTAAAATTGGGGGACAAAAAGATTCCTTGGATATGTGTCTTTATATGCATATACAGTATAAATGCACATATCTTTACTGACATTTCCCAGAGTGTAAAACTGAGTTTCTCCTTTCTGAATTGATATTTGGCCAGGAGATGACCTAAAAAGTAAAACTGAGACAAAGAGGGCATTATCACAGGACAGAAGAGTTATAAGAAACCTGCTTCTATTTTCTTTTTCCTTCCAGGGAAAGCATGTCTGTCCAAAGCAAACGTTACATCTCAGCTCCTCATCTCTGAGGACACAGACTTGTGTACTTTCTGTTCAAGAACATCCAGGCTCAACGGGCCAAAATCTCAGATTTCAGACCTCCAGGAATTTGGCACAAGCTCCTCCCAGTGCTGCATTTCACCTGCTGCTGCCTGAGCCCCCATCTCTAACCTTCCCCACCAGTTTCAATAAACCAGCACCACAGAAGCACAGCTTGGCTAAATCTCGACATTGGGGAATAAAGCAGGCCAAATGCGAGCTTGACATCAAAGTCTTCCACTGAGAAGTGGGAACAAACCCAAATCCAGTGAGTCCTCTCAGGATAACCTGAGTTAGACACACATTGACACAGTTGTCTGGCCACACTCAAGATGCTGTTAGAATAAATGCCATAGTACCAAGCAAGCAAAACTCTGATTTTACACTGCAGTAATCATAGCCCCTTTTATACTTTCATTGTTTACTCTTCTCCTTACAGAAAGGCTCATTTTTCCCTAGAGAGATGTTATAAAACTCAAGCTGCCTGAATCACTAATGGACTTATTTCAAAGTTAATTAGTTTAATTTCAGAATCTGGTCTTCTGCTACATCTCTATCTGCTAGGAGCAGCCCTGTAGGGAGAACCAACTAATTGTACATGTTCCAGAAATTTTATTGGTGTTTTAACTTTGGATTGGGGCTGAATACCTGTTTGGGGTTGGTATGCACTACATATTTTTTTTTTGTAGAGCCCATTTTTGGTGTAGTTCCTTATAAAAGGAACTTCTGCCTTCCTTTGTTTCCAAACTACCTCACAATGCAATCCAAAACAAAATAAATGTGAGGATGAGATTTGCTTTGAAGGTACCCTACTGATCCTCTTAAAAACTAATTTAAACACACCCTGTAATTCCTCTCTAATACATTCCCCTTTTGCTTGTAGTGCTGATGTTCAACGATCAAAATATCAATAAAGTTTCTCTTAATTTCAAGAGAGCCTTCAACTCTTTTTTTCCCTGTCTACACCCAGGAGTCAGCAATGTTTTCAGTATTTTCAAAGATAGTCCACTTAATCTTTAAAATGTGGAACTTTTTGCTATCCTTCCAGTCATCCTGAGGTTTTTTTCACCTGTCACAAAGGTTTTTAACTGTTTGGAAATCTCTCTGCTCCTTTGTAGCCTGAAACAATCCAAGACATGGTATTCCTAGCATCAAAGAATCTTCTGGCTGAGAAAACATATTCAGCAAAAGCATCTTGCTATAAAATTCTTAAATAGGTCAAATTGTGCCAGAACCACCACTGGGGTCTCAGCCATGTCCCCATTTCTCTTTTACACGTGCCTAGCAAAGAAAGAGAAAACTCACTCAGTAGTTTTAAGGCATTTTTTTTCCACCCTGAATTACATCCACAGCCTTCTATCAGCAAGCACCAACACATTCTATTAGACAATATCAAGACAGATTAGCCAGGAATGGGACAGTGTAATATTGTACAGAACTCAAAGAAAATGCTCCATAGGGGAAAGTTCAGCCTCCCTTATGTTGGGCGAATATTTCAAATTAACCAGATTTTCTGTAAATACTAAATTTTGTTCTTACATCAACCACCTCAGAAATATTTAAAGATTATTGGCATTATTAAAAATACTTTGATTTTTAAAAAATACACTTAACTAGTGCATGTTTTGTTAAATGCAACGTCTCTCAAAAATAAAAATTATGTCAGTTATTTGCCTTCAAAGTCTAAATGTTTTTATCAAAGCTTTATTCTATGTTTGTATAACCAGCAGCCAGGTGGCAAGCTAAAAAGATCCCTGTTAAATTCCATGAGACATATCTAATAGGAGGATCCTACTTTTTACTCAAAGAAATTATTCCATCCCAAAGAATACCCAAAAGTATTTTCTTTTCTCAGAATACTTGTTTTAAATGTGTAATCTTCTTCAGAGCTGCTCCTTCAAGAATAACCACAAGATGTCACTATTGTAAAAGAAAAATTCCATGCAGCAAAATAGGAAGTTCTGGGATTTATATTCTGATCTGGGGTTCTAATTATTACACATCCAAATCAATGCACTTCAATGATTTTTTTTTAATATAGGAACTGAAGTTACTCACAAGATAAAAAGAAAATAGTAATAAAAAATGAAACATGAAATTCTCTCCTATAGCATACAAATAAAGATCCTTCAGCCACTTGGTCTGAATTACCAAACACAAGAAAAACTTGTCAGACAGCAGGAGAAAAATGTATGATTCCATCATTGCAAGTAATCTGCACAGAGGATAGTATCAGTATAGAAACTACAGAGAATACAGGTATAAATAAATCAAGAAATAGAACAGAGAAGAAAGTAGTCTCCTAGAGAGCTTAAGGAAAGTTTGGTATTTAGTAGGGGAAAACAATTATATATCCATGTCAGCTCATCTGTGACAGAATTTTAAGAAAATAATTATAATATTATACACTAATATGTAGATTCAGTGAAAATCCAAGGAACAATGAAGCAAATTATTTCTATATGATCTGTAGGAAAGAGTGAGAAGGTAACATGCACAGAAATGTGAGGTGAAAGGAAGGTGCTAGCAGCAGTAGTCAGATTTTTAATTTTATTTTGTGCTTAAAACTTCTAATGAAGTTCATAGCACTGTATCTGAAGGTGTAGACTAAAAAGCATTTCCAAAGATTTGTGACATTTCCCCATCTTGTACTCAGCAATTTGACATTGCAAGGAATCCATGCACAGCTGAAAGGGTGATAGTCTTGCTGCAAATTCTATTCACAACTTCTGGACAGAGATTAAGCCTTCAGGATCTTTTTGTGCACTACAGTCTGGAAGGTTTTAAAGGACTCAGTAGCAAGTCTACACTATAAGTCTACACTATTTCCATTCAATGACCATATTACTAAACCACTTTTCTTCTGTGGATGCACTGACTGCCTTTGAATGAACAACTCATTAATTATTAAGAAGTGAAATGTATTAGATCTCATCATGACTGTAGAGTAATAGGTGTGACAGCTAATAGGAGTTAAAAAGTCATTTCCTTTGACATGCCAAAAGAAACAGCAATAAAACAGAACAGAGGCAGAAAGTCATGGGAAGAAGGCATATCAGCTAAGCAATCTGGAGGGATTTTAATATTTCTGTTAAGAGAATGGCAATTTCTAAGCATAGCAAGTTAAGCCAATTGAGACTTGTAACAGAAGTGGTAAATGATAAAAACAAAAATCCACAAGCATCTAGCATAATTATAGTAAGTGAATTAAACATTTAGGATCTTAAATAATTTATCTGTAATGAGAAACAATGATTTATAGTACTGGGATTAAAACTGCACCACATGCTTACAGTATGTCCATTAGCCCACACACTCTTGTACCACTATAACAAAGCAGCTCACCTTCCTTTTTCATTGAGAGGTTGCTACAAATAATACCAAACAAAAAGCAGACAGTGGATACTTTACATCAGGAAACACTAAAAATATGATGCAATGATGTGACATTAAAAGGAGTGCAGGGAGAAAATCAAATTACCTAGACACTAAGCTAGCAAACCTTACCTTGCCAGCTGTCATTGCAAACACAGAGCTTCTCTCCTGTCAGGTCACAGTAGCCATGATCTGGGCTCCCACAGTTGGCTTTGCAATAGGGAATGTCACAGGCCTCTCCTTTCCAGTACTTGTCACACTCACAGTACACCCGGCTCGGGACAGACAGGCTGGTTGTGCACTTGCCATGTTCTGAGCAGTTATTAGGGCAAGAGTTAATTCTGAAAAAAAATAAATACGTTAAGATAAGGGAAATGATGACCCGTGAGCTGATGACAGTGGTTTCATCTGGCAGTACTCCAGCAGTATTTGTTAGATAAAGTATTTTTTACCATGAAAAATTTCCATGTACTGATAAAACACAAATTTAATGATGATTTTACAGGTCAATGAGCTCAAAAGGTGTTGATCCAATCTTACATACACAGTCTGTGATGCACTCAGGATCACAAATACCTTGCACTGCAACAAATATTGACATTAAGCAGAAGGACAGGCTCTGCCTGGACAGATCACTACCTATTTTTCTCCTATATTCCAGTATAAGCACTCAGTCCCTTCAAATGCTTGTTATCTCTAGAAACAGCCACACTGGAAGTAATTGAGCTTAAACTCTCCAGCACAGGCATACAGTTAAAGGGTTTTCCTGAGCAGCTTTGGTCCATACTATAAAAAGGATGCCTAACATCTGGGGAGGATAAAAGAGAGGGAAACAAGTAAGGAAAAATACAAGATGGCTAATATCCTGAAACTACTTATAAGTAGCACTTCATGCTTTGAAACCTTAATAAAAGAGCCACCTTAACTCTGCAGTCCAAGATGCAAAAAAGAGAGAGCGAGCCTAGGCTGAAAGAAATCTGTGACTGTTCTGGGAGTTAGCATTTCTGTGATACACCCTACCAAACACTGAGATCACAGGCAACTGGAGGACAAAAATAAGCAAAGTGGTTCCAGAAATGCAGGCAACTCCTTGAAATGAGGGAAGATGGAGGATATGGAACTCAGTTTCCATGAACTCAGGCAGCATATGCCTGATGAAGTCCAAATAGGATTTGAAACTTCTTTTGATGACTCACAGCAAACAGAATAAAGGGTTACTACAAACCTCTGATAGTACAGACCACTCCCTGCAGGTGTGAGAGATGGATATTGTTCACAGTCTTCCTTACTGAATGAAGCTCTAACTGAATGAAGAAAGAGCTGTTAAAAGTTAGCCAAGAATTGTTCAAGGCTGGCTTTTGACTAGATGTAATTGTGGTAGGATAGTGAGGAGACACATTTTTGTCTTCTAGAGACTCACTTCTCAAAGGACTGATTATGTTACACTGCTAAAAAAGAAAATTCCACATCTGACCACCATTCCAAATCTCCTGAGAGTTTTACCTGGTAACATACATGGCATTAAAACCATTGATGGCATTAATGGCTGAATGCTACAGCTGTGGGAACCTCTTCCCCAACCTCACAGGGAGCATTCTGCAGTTAAGCTTTTCCATCAGGAGATATTAGTTGGAAAGTAGACCATTTCCCACTCCAACTGGTTCATTAAGGATTCAAATAAAATGAGAAAAACTGGATCAGCAGAATTGGAAAAAAGTTGCCTGACTCCAAGGAACAGAAAATTTACTCAGACTGTTCTGGAGTAATTACAGTTGTTTGCTACTGAAATGGCACTTTTGTCACAGATTTTGTGTTTCTGTCTTCCCCAAAATAAAGGAATACAAGTGGTCCATCAAGATGAATTAAAAAATAAGGAAGAGGGTAACAGAAGCAGAGTGCAGTAGATCAGTGACAGAAGCAAAGTTAGTGCAGCCATAAAAAGTAATTGTAGGTACTTCTTTATCATAAAAAGTGTTACTGTTGGTTCATTAAAAAATGTTTTAGAAGTATCCATTGCAATAACATAGAATTGCATGAGTTATATATGTAATGTAATTAAAAACTGGCAAGTTTTTTCATTTGTTTTAAATCTACAAAAAAAATTAGGTAATGATATGCAGCATGCACCACATTACCAAGTAATGAAAGAATGCATATACACTCATTTCTTAAGAATGCCAAAGTCTTATTGCCATTTGCTCCCAAGACAAATAAAATAAGTGTAATAAAAGCTTCAGGGATAACTGAAATATGTAGCTAATTACAATAGAAAGTCTGCCAGGTGATGTCAACTGACAAAAATTAAAAATACCCAGTCTTCTAGGCTGCCATTTCCAATGCAATACATATAGTGAGGTTTTCCAAACTTCAAATAGCTATTTATTATCTGGTTGAAGGTGGGCAATCTGCTGCAAATTACAGCAATAATCTTCCCATGGATAATGCACCAAGTACTGTGCCAAGAGCAAAGCTATGGTCAGAAAGACAACTAGAAATTTTAAACTAATAAAGAATATGACACAAATATTACATGTACTTCAACATAAGAAATGCAGTGCTGGCCACCACATCCCAATAACTGGTATTTCAGAATCTGAAGAGATTGAGAGAAAGGAACAGGAATATTTTCAATCATGGAAAAAATGTCACATAAAGAAACAGGTCCAACAGGACCAAGTAATTCCCTCTTAACCAAGGCATGCAATATGAAGAGATGTTGCATTGTGTCACATGCACATCCCAAATGAGACAGAAGTTGCAAACAGCTGGTGCATATAAAAAGGAAAAGCTCAGGTCTGCTGGATGCATCTTCAGAGCTGACACAGAAATGGAGGTTGGACAAAAGCAATCATGGTCATATCAGATTTGCCATCAGAGAAACTAAAAGACACACAGAGCAGATAAGACCTACAAAGACAGAGTGTAGACTGAGATGGAAAATAGGAGGGGAAATACTCAAGAAGAGGAAGTGAAATTGAATAAAATCTTTGTGGCTGGCACAAAACTCCAAGTGGAACTGCTTGGAAGGTTTCAAAAGCCATAGTATATTCAGCAAGAAAAATCAAGCAACAGATGATCCCAGTTCAAGAGAAGGGAATTTATATGACAGCAGATATAATCTCCTTTCTAGTCCATATGACAACTATATGTGTTGGATAAACACTGGAGGGGATACATTCTAGTTCCATATGGCACAGGAAAAACATACTCTGGGAATGGCCATGTGACTTCACTCAAAAAACCATACTCTGTCTCTAGGAGATCTTCCTCCTAACTCATACCTTAATTACTTATTACAAGCCCAGCCCCCTGGTTTTAGACGTTTACACTTAGTATGACTCTTACACTATTGAAAAAAGAAACAAAGGTAATTACTTAGAAGGAAAATACTTACGAATAAAAAATGTTAAATCCTGTTAGGTTATAAGCAGCATCACTAAAAAAGTGTAGCAGTGCATAGCCAGATGTAGTAACCACTTCTGGAACAGTTTCATTTCCACGCACTTCAGGGACTATTAGACCACTGGAAAAGAGAAGAGGAAAATTGTTTTTAAGCAGTCTTTGGCATATTTGGGGGGGAAAAAAAAGGAAAGAGGAAGTTCGGTATTCTGCTAGTTAACTATATAAACAAGATGATTCATAAATATAATTCTAAAACTTTTTTTTCAAAAAGGTATACAAGGTACATAAAACTTGTCCATGCATCTGCAAGGTAAGTCAGGGGTTTCCAGGAAAGTACCTGTGTATAAGCATTAACATTCCATGCAATGTCAGCAGTAAGTATCCAAATAATGGATTTCTGCTATGATTATCTAACCAAAACTGTAACATTTTGGAATGCATTCTAATACAACTTTACATACATGTTCCCATAATATTAAGGTAAGAAAGTAAGCTAGTTAACATATTAAAACCTCTAATGTCACTTTTTTTCCCCAATAATTGAAAATGTCCTTACATGACTCTGTGGACAGAAAGATTAGTAAATACACTCACCTAAATACAGCTATTAAAGGTGCATATATTGAATCTCCATCATATACATACATATGGTCCCAGCTACATTCTGTGGCAAAGTGATTAAATCTTAATCTTAGTATCGCATTTGGGCTGAAAAAAAAATTGATGCAACACATTACTTACAGAATTACTGAGATCATAAGATCAAGAACTCACAGTAGAATTGGTCATGACAGCATAACTCTGTTAAAATATTTTGAGTGGTAATTAAATATTTCAAACTGTTAGATAACAAAAGCCAGAGCAAGCAAATATTTCCCTTTATCTTAGAAAATTTTAAAATAACATACTCAGACCTCAGCTGATAACCCCTAAAGTTAATAAGAGGCTTAAGTTCACCAGATTTTATCAGTGTTCAGAACCACAAATTTAGTGCAATCAAAATACCTAATTTTAATGCTTTTTAATAAATTTACTTTACAATGTCAAGACTACGAACTTTAAAGAATCTTTCAAGATAAGATCACCTACACATCCTCTTTCCAGTATTACACTAATTATTGACAAAAAAAAATCTTAAAACACTGAGCTAAAATTAGTGCAATATTAGTGCAAGTGCTGCCTCCTCCCCTCTGCCAACATGTGGGAAATGTCACCCGATTTTGGTTGAGGTCCAAATGGATCTCCAAACTTTCAGAAAGAGGAATTTTCACATATCACAGAATTATCATACATACATATATATATATTCCATGAAACATAATGATTATTTTCTTGTAGTTCTCCTCACTATTGACAGTCTTTAGTGCAATTTGCCAGTTTGGAAAACGTGTGGAGTTTTGTGACAGATCCTTTGGAGAGAGTTCTTTGTTCATTTTTTAAGGCAGAGTATTATACACGTATGTGACTTCCTTGTGTGCTGACACTTGGCACAGTGCTGCTGATTGCTTTACTCCTCCCCAGAGTGTGCAGCACATGGATTTCTCCAGCTACCCACTCTGCCATCTTCTGAGAACAGGAGGAATGGAGTGGGGAACAGCTTCAAAGCAGAGCTTGCCTACAGTGCTGAGGTGTGTTTCCACCTTAGTGAAGTGCAGTGCAAATATTCCTGAGCTAGCCCTGCCTGAATAAAAAGAGAAGTCTAGCTAGGTCAGATATATTCAGCTATAGCCTGGTCTTCTAGATAATGAAGATTCAATTTAAATGATTTTGTAAACACCTGTAACTTCACTGCTATTTTGTTGAAATTACTGTCTGTGTATAAGCAGAGTGAAGTTAGATGAGACACAGCATTTCTGAACTGCAGCAGCAAAGCAGATATCCAAGGTGATTGAGATCATGACAACATACAGAAGGAGTAAATTTTCTTCTAGAATGCTAGTAGAACTGTGAACTAGAGTCAGCAAAATCCTGACCCATATCCTCGGAAGGGGGTTCCTCCTGAAATGTAACCGATTTGTGCCATTAACACTTAGCCACACTAATTTACGTGTCTCATTATTTCTTCAGGCATGTCTTTGTATTTCTGTGCTGCATAAACTGAAAAATTAGCAACAGGCATGAGGCATCTAAACTGCAGGCATAAAACTATTTCAAAACCTAAGTACATGAGCAACTATAGAATACAAAAGAGAATACTTTTTTGAAGCCTTAACTTTTGAGAAACATGTAACTGAATAAGCATTCTGTACTTGAGGCCATTCCTGATTTATCACTGATAGGAGTTAAATAAGATAAGTCAGGTAATCAGTTAAATAAAGGGATTCTGTAACTACTTTTGAAACTTATGCAAAGGTACTCAAATACGCAACAAATTTATCACTGGGTTTTGAGGGCCTGCAGCACTGGCCAATAACCAATGTCAGGCTAATTTTTGCCAGCAATTTAGATTGGAATGGAATTTGGCCAACTCTAAGCAATCCTGTATATCCTAATACCACTTTTTAAAATTCTATATAATATTTAAACAAAACCAAAACAAACTAACAAAACACCAAACTGTTCATATTGTATCCTCATGCAGTCTCTATGTGAGTTCTTTTGATCTCTAAAACATATAGTACCAAACTGTTCAGAAAATTTAAGCTATGAAAATAGATACTTACTATCCTTCAATTAACCACGTGCATTTAGTTTTATATTTATAATTTATAGGTCCATCTGTTAAATATCCAGAAGGTTCTGTTAACCTACAAGAGGAAAAACAGGGCTGTAACAAACCAGAGACAACAGAAGATGAATCATCGATATGCCAACAGAATCTTTCTTGATGGAAAGAAAATTGGGGGTAGGGAAAACAGTCAAGTCTCTCTTCATATTTCACATCACACTACTTGCGTTCATAAAAACTTGAATTCTGATTGTTCTATGTCATTTATTTGCTTTCTTCCCCCAGGCATTCACTTGTATTTTTTCTAGTTCAATAGCAAATAATTTAAATTATCCTTCACACGAAATGGATCCAAGCCAATGTAAGGGGGGTTTGTTTAAGAGCATTTTGGTTTGCTTTGCTTATACGCTTTGCCACTGCCTTACAACTTACTTCAGAAATCAGACAGCACTAGCCATAGGAAAACTCTCCTAGATGAAGACAAATTAAGATATAAATTTGAATAAGCACATCTGTCAGCCTGCTGCTCTGTTATTCCTAGTCAGTACCGTCTCTGCACAGTGATCTCCAGTGATTACCCAGCAAGGAGTAAACCCACACAGCATTACACCACCTTCAGTGACTTGCAACTCAGGGACAATTCCAGTCCACAGCTGTGCCTTTGGGTTCATGCTTTATACCACTCAAAATGTAATGATCTGTGTTTTATTTCCCTACTTTCCCTCCTCTGCCCCTTTTCCAACCTGAGGAATCCTTGCTCTCTGCTTTTAATAAATCTTTCGTATTCTCCTAGAGCCTGCTGAGATGCAACAGAGAGCAGCATATTGTATTCAAGATGCAAGTGAACCATGAATCTGTACAGTAGCAATATTATTTCCATTTTATTCTCTATTCCCATTTAAGATTTTATTTGCTCTTTCAACAACTACTACTCTGACATTTGCAACAGAAATATCTGCTGTAACTTTTTTTTTGAGTGATAATAGCTCAATATTCATCACATATAGAAATTCCTTTTATGTAGAAAGAGAACCTTTTTCATCCATTCATATATATTACTTTGTATTAATCTATGCAGTGATAAAACAGCAGATGAAATTCAATAATCTATTAACATAAAAGCTTTCTGAAAGAGCTTGGTATCTTCAGCACATTGTATCTTCACTAATCCATTCTATTTTCTGCATCCTTTATGATTATGTTCAGCCATTAACACACATCTCCAATGGCCTTACGCCACTGGGAAAACAGACCATCCCACTCTTTAATAACAAATAACAAAAAATATAAATCCATCCTCAGAAATGCTCATTTCTTTCACTATATTGCTGAAAGATAATCATTAAGAATAGGTATCACTAAATAAGAAAAGCTTTGTTCATCTGTTTCATGTCTTGTTTTTTTTTAAATAAAAGGCAATCATACATAATATTCCAATCAAAATCATTTCAGTGCTGTCATATGATTGATATACAGAAGTCTTATTTAGCAATTCACAGAACATATATTTTCCTGGAAGAAGTGTGAAATATTAACTCATTTGCAGTCACAACCATTGCCTTCTTAGCAGTTGCATAGTGCAATAGAGGTGACTTACAAGAGTTGTTTTTATTACATCAGTTCTTTGGTACTAGTAAAGTACAAACAGTTTCCCTTGTTTCCTAGGACGATAATTTTTTGATAAGTAGTTTCTTTTGGATGAGTAGATAGCCTTTGAAACAGCCATTTCACTTTGTTGGAGAAAAAGTAAATAAGAGCACAACATTGCTTTGCAATAATGTTTGTAGAAAATGGTAAGATAAGGACTTGTTCTATTTAAAATAAATATATAGCAAGACAGATGGAGATTACTTAAAGTTTCTTGAGTCATACCAAGAACTATTCTGTATTATTTTTCTTTCCAAGTGTTATCAAACACAAAATCCCATAACTCACAAAGATAAGCAGTACCACTTTCAGGTAATCCCTTGCCCAATCTAGGGCAATATTCTCGTTCATATATTTCATCAGCAGTTTTCCTGTGTGACTAACAGTGACTCTGTCAAATAACCACAATCCAGATGAGTCACCCTGACTATGCACTCATTAGTCACAGAGGTGCCTGCATTGCACCCCACTCCTTGCTCACCACTGAGAAAGCATCAGCGATGAGAGGAAGCCAGAACATTTGTGTGGCCCGCCCAGGCACCACAGGTTTATCACACCCAGACTCCAACCTTTTTAACAGAACACACAGGGGAGTAGCTGATGCTGTGTACTGTCATTTGAAATTCCACATCAGCTTTCAAAATATTTTCAACAATATTTTTTCCTAGTTGGTAGGGTTATAATCAAACCCTATAAAGAATTAGAGGGTGTGTGCCAAGAGGACATTTCCCATCTCAGTATACTGTTAAACAGATCTGCCAAATAATAGAAAGTCATCAGGGTGCTGCACACTTGAAGGCAATCAGAAGCACCAGTGACAGATCAGTCACTCACCAAGGTGATCAGTGAGCAATAGATTCCAGGAAAGATGTGTGACACTACAGGGTTTCACTCAGCAGACAGATCCATCAGAAATGCAAGGGCTAAAGCCAACACAGGGCAACCAAAACATGCAATAAAGGCATGTCTACATTCACCTGGAATATTACCACTCTATAAAATAATGGCAAATATAGCTGAGTTAGAATGTACAGAGGCAATATTTACCACTGCAGAGACTGAACCAAGACTAGTGCGTTTCAAGAAAAAAGTACATTCTAGTTCAGTCAGAAATTATTGGTCCAAAGTGAAGGAGTAGTCAGATGAAATCTATGCCCTGCAATACATAAGACGTCAGAGCAGGTTATTAAAAAGGCCTTTCCTGCTGTAATATTTATAGATCTGTGAGAAACGTAGTCTTGTTATTTCCTGTATCTTCCTGCGAAAAAAAAAATTTAAAAAAAAAAAATCACCAAATCTTCCAGAGAGTGGCACTAATTTAAACCAGAAAAGTCACTGGCTATTTTCTGTCATCAGCAGATGATGAAGCTCCACAAAACTGCTGGGTAGATGGACAGAGGTCTGATTTATAATATCAGTGCTTCAGGAAAAACAAGGCACAATCTACATTTATAATATTACAAATATTCACTATTAAATAAAGAGTTAAAGAAATTCATTTACGTCTACATTAGTGTCACATTTCTACTGATAATTTTAAGAAATGTTGGATTACTTTGCAATTCCTACTTCAGATGTATCTGAATATACAATATGGAACACATTTTGCTTCATGGATCCATCTAAATATCAGTACTGGTATGTCAGTCAGGAGCTCCTCTCTCCATTGCTGAAAAATTTTGCTCCATCTCCTTTTCATCTTTTATGAAAATGTTTTATTAAAAAGAAATAAAAATCAATAACTATGCTTCAAAGTCACAAGAACAAGTTCTTCATAAATAGAAGTACTGACAACCTTTCTAGTTGAGACCTTGTGCCTAACATTTACAGCAGGCAAAGAGACTGCATAGATCTAAGATCAGCTGAATATATTAATAAAGAAGGGGAAAAAATTCAGACCACCTGACAGCACAAGCCTGATTCAGTGAGAAAGAAATGCAGAAGTGATCAAGAGGCCATTTCTCACACCACAATATTGACTGACAGACTAAGGTTTTCCAGGTTTTTTTTTTTCAAAGGAATATCTGAAAAACAACATGTTCTGAAAAACACACAAAGGCAGATTTTTCCTTTCCAGGCATTAAGCATTGACTAGCACCTGACAAAAACTCAAAGAATTTGTATTTGATTTTCTTGTGTTTTTACATTTATTGTATAACTTGCTGTTGGTTATTTTTTCCACATATGAAAACAGGATATACTGAACATACTGTAGCTCTAATTTTTCTCCAGTGACTTATCAAGAGGAATATTTAATACATTAAGGAAATATTTGCATATGCCAATCACTCCTCTACTTGTTACATACTGCTTTGCAGTAATAGAAGAAGTTATATTTAGAAACATAAAGGACATTCACATGCCAAGTAATCACAGGCCTGCTCTTAAATAGGTTTCAGTTCATTCATTGGAAAAGCAGCACATTCTGTTGCAAAGTGCAAACCCTAGTGATTAATTCAGTTCATCCTGAGTTCATCTTTCTAAATTATTTGAAGCAAAACCATGCTCCAAAACAATCCAAAACTCACAGAAAAGTAAAATTAAGATTAGAACACATAAACAATTTTCCATGAGGATGTATCCTGTATTTCAAGAAGCTTAACACTTGTGTTTAAAAAAAAAACAAAAACAAAAAAACACTAAATTAGCTGGGATATAAACTCTGTAAACTCTGGTGCAAAACATGAATTTAACATCTACTCTGGCAGGTGCTCAATTTCTGAAAAACATTGTTGTTCTATAGCACATTTCTGCAATAGTCCCCAAAACAACTGAAAGGATTCTGCATAGGAGTAGATGTTGCTCTCCAACTCCAAACTTCTCAGGCATCTTACTTCTGTAATGTAATTTTCACTTACATAAATGAGATGTGTTCCCTTGCTTAGGCTGCACATTACATAAACTCACAGAACACAGACCAGGACAGGTTGTTTAGAATAGGATATCTGCATGTGTGACTGAGGAAATCTACAAAGACTTGAAATGTGGGCACAGTTTTACAAAGACCTGATAAACAAACCAGATGTAGAAGGTAAAAGTAGTATTATAATGATAAATGCAATATTTATTCTATTTTAAAATAAAATGTGAAAATACTGCATTAACAACTCACGAAGTGGTACTTGACTTTTTTTACCAAAAACCCCCTAAACTGCCATTTCAGTTACAACATGCCCTAATACCTATCCCAACTATACTGAAATCTTTTTTTCAGTTATTTGTCTAATCTGATCTTAATAATTCCAATGGCAGAAGTCTACAATCTTCTTAGGCAATCTATTTTAGTAATGACTTATTATTAAAAAGTATTTCTAGATGTCTAATTCACATTTTTCTTACTTTTACATATTTCCTGAACAGAGACCTGGAAATCAGGTAACATTCCTCCTTTTTCTGCTCAACTTTTATAATCATTTACCTTCAGCCTTTTCT